TGTGTGTGTATACAATTGTACGGCACGCTTGCGCATGTGCATGGGCGGTGCTGGATCTCTGAACTTGCTGATAATATTGAATGGTTTCCCCCCTCAGGCAGCACTGTGGATGAATAGTTGCCTCGCAGAAAGAGAGCTTCTCGCAGGGGCGTAGTTGAGGGGAGGAGCTGTGTGGGCATGTCACTTTCTGAATGTGGCACCTCTGCATCCCTTCTCACATCTTGTAGAAATTGAAACACTTCTATTCCCTTTTAACATACAGTATGTTACATGTGTTTATAAGCTGCATTGAAAGCATCATGAACATTCAAAATTCAGACGACCAGTCACTCACACCCACACACGCACGCACCCCCCCCATGCACGTGTGTGTGTGTGTGTGTGTGTGTGTGTGTGTGTGTGTGTGTGTGTGTGTGTCTTTTTTCCTTTTGCTTACTTGTTCAGCCACCTGATTGAAGTTTTGGTTCAGGTCAGCAATATTATCAGGTCAATAATAAAATACTAACGTGTGGAACCCCATCGAAAAGGTCTGCCACTGCTCCTGTTGGCCGAGAGGATACAATGTCCATGTTTTCCAAAAGCAATTTGAAATGTGGACTCATCAGACCACAGAACCCTTTTCCACTTTGCGTCAGTCCATCTCAGATGAGCTTGGGCCAACAGAAGGTTTTTACTTGCGTTTTTAGATGGCGCGACAAACTGAAGTCATCTCGATCCCCTGTATGGTCATATCATATAAGTCATTCTTTTAAGCAGTGCCACCTGAGTGATCAAACGTCATGGCCATTCAATGTTGATTTTCGGCCTTGCCAATTGCGAAAAGATATTTTCGGGATTCTTTGAATGGTTTTGATGACATTGTGGACTGGAGATGATGAAATCCCTGAATATCTTGAAATTGAGAACAATTGTTCCTAAACAGTTGGACTATTTGATCACATCGTTGTTCACAAGGTGGTGAACCTCAATTCATCCTTGCTTGTGAATAACAGAGCCTTCCAGGTATGCTCCTTTTATACCCAATCCAACCACTCACCTGTTTCGGTTTGAGAACACAGTTATCAACTATGAACTCAACTAGTTCATTTTAAGATTTGTGAGTTGAACCCAGGGGACTTGGAACTTTTTTTCACCTAATATCAAAACACATTATTGTGAACGATTTTGTTTTGAGTCTGAAAAATTGAAGCATTTATAAATGAATGAATATTTCTAAAAGTAACATACATGGTTTCCATAAACACTGAAATCAGGAGTGAGTGGAAACAGGATATACTGCAATTGCATGCAAAGTGAAGTTGTTGTCTCTACGGTAATGTTTTTAATACATGACTGTAATTAAATGTACCTGAATTGCTCAATGAGTGTGTGTCAGTCCTGTGATTGACTGCTGATCCGTTCAGGGAGTACCCTGACCCCAACAGAAGTCAGCTGTGACAGACTCCGGCTTCTAGTGTGTTATAGAAAACGGATGGATGGATGGACGGTTGTTTGTTTTCTACTCTCCTTAACAACTCCCCTTCCAATATACCATCATTACTCTCCCTGTGTGTTGTAAACATCTGGCCCACCAGAGCTCAGCTGTCTCCACATCAGAGCAATTGTGCAGCATATACCCTCATGCATTAGCCATCACAACACACCCACCCACACACACACACACCCACACACACACACACACACACACACACACACACACACACACACACACACAAGCTCAAAAAGCACATTCGCTCACGAACAGAGCAACACCACAAAGTAGTTCATCACACCTGTTGAGAATGATTTAATGTGTTTGTGTTGAAGGGGGACGGTGACATCAGTCACACAGACGGCACTGGGTCGGTTAGACTGAGCTTGGTGGTTCCCATGTTATGGATTTTAGTGCTGTTTGTCAGATAGAAGTGTGTGGAGATGGAGCCAAAGGACAAAGCATACCCGTAGGAATGGACAGAAAGTGTGGGGGCGAGGCGACAGAGCGAAGGAGAGTAGAGCGTGTGAAAAGGCCACAAAGGAGTCTTGCTGGATGAAGGCACAGCAACAAGATTGATCTTTTTGCACCTTTCTGACTCACATTTTATAAAAATTACAATTCCCACTAATATGAGGAATGTTATTGCAGAGCCAAATGCCAACAAGCACTGTAATGCTTGTTCACACAGCATGATCTGCTTCACAGTTCTGTGTTCAATCTCAGCTCCAGTCTTTCGCTTTGGAGTTTGCATTGTCCATGTGCATGAATGGTGTTTATATTCGCCCTGGAGAGTAAAGAAATCAAATCACATCCTATCATAGCAATCCGCAAGTAGTATGGAAATATGTGATTGGATGTTGAGTAAACACTACCATCATCAATTGCGATCTTCCCCAGAATCTCAGGAGGAAAGTGTTTGGACTACAGTACTAAAAACATTGGCAAGTGTTAGTTCTTTGACTTGGTTAAAATCAAGGAGGAATTGGCAATCAATTTTGCGTTTATTGTTGCAGAATAACGTTAAAATGTAATGACACCGGCCTGCAACTGCACTGAGGAACCTATGTCATGGCTTAGTGGAAGCACTAAACTAAATCAGGATCATGGCATGTAAAAACATATTCCTGGCTAATAATATTAACTAATACTCCATGCATAGTGGTTGGTAGCAAGCGGTGCAGAACACTCAGCGGGGATGAAGCATGTTGATTGTATAAAAATACATCTGTCCTTCCTCATTTTGTCTCTAGTTGCAAAAGGATCCATCTTCAAGCCGCAAAGATTAATGATGCTATCATAAAATATGGGCATTGCTTTTTGAAACTAAACCTAAGCAAGCTTTATCAAATAATAGCATCATTCAGTTGTGCCATTTTATGGCTGCGACTCGATAAATGTGTAGACCAATCTGTATGGTATCCATTTCTTATCAGTGTAAACAGAATAGCCAGTACAAACAAGCTGCTTTAAAGCATCACATTAAGTTAAGTGTGGTCACACCGGGCCCGGCTGATGCAATGCCTAGAAGAGAGCTAAGAAGGCACAAGGATAGGCGAGGAAGCCAAATGCAAAAGTTTTATACCCCCATGAGCATAGGTCCTTCATTGTCTGTGGCAAAGCTCTGTTTCATCGTAATGCCCTCCAAGAGACTTTTGTTACAGTGCACGTTTTGGTTCGTAAGCACAACTGAGGTTGGTAGTGTGAGTCATGACCGCATTTCATTTAGCCGTACAAGAGTCACAGTCGTGGTGATGTGACGACTGGCTGTCTGACCCAAGGAACTGGCTCAGCAAAGCTTAGCGGCACATCAGTGATCTTCACTTTATGCTGGACAAATTGCAAATAAGCAAAAAAGAAAGGAATTGATACATTGGCACACATTTCAGTTCAGTACATATTTGACTTGTGTCAATGGGAACTCTTTTTCTCAGTTGGAATCGGGATTTTAGACAAGATGGAGGAAATTATGAACAATTCAAAACAGCAGTCAGTGTTAGCACAAATGTTTCAGGCTTCCGCAAGAACGCAGAACAAACAAAAAATAAATTCAGTCAAAGCTTCCTACAACAACAACTGAACATTATTTAAGGTTTAACTGATGCACTTTATGTGGTAGCAATGCACTGACTCCCATTTGCCGTAAATTTGAACATATTTGGTCAATTCTGAACATAGCCACATCCCAGTTATAAGAGAGTGTGGACACACTTGTGCAACTACACTACCTCAAATTGGTATTTTTACTTTCCCTTTCAAAATGA